GTGTGACATGGTTACATTCGTGACGACTGAGAAATATGTGGACCAGCCTTTTCGTCACATTCTGCCTTCTGCTGGTCAGGCTTCCCCTCCCACACCCCTACCTTCTCTTACTGGAGCCACAACCTTTCTCTCCTTTTTCTCTGCTTTTCCGGTTTAGAAGTTATCAGCTGTATTTTCATCCTGACATGGTGATTTTACATTTCTTTGGCTACCTTTACGTCGCACGTAAGTTTGCTACTTTATCTTCACTTTCTGACAAAATAAAGCGTATGAACATCCTCTAGGTTATGCTTACTGCCTGCCTCATTTCTGTTTTCATGTGTGCTTGCCATAGTGTACACAGGTGAGCAAAATAGGACCCTGCAGGGCTGGGGAACTGAAGATGTGAGGCTTTCTGTGCTTTTTATGGGTGGAGGCAGACAGCAAGAGCTGCTGATGTTTATTCAGACTCCGTCATAGAATGAAGAACTTGGATTTTTCAATGCATGAAGTTTTAAAGTGCCTTTATGAGGAAGAAATCACAAAAAATGGTGGGCAATCCCAGGTTGAGGTGGCAGGAATGGTGGCTGAACAATTGCTACATTAACTATGAGACACACCATTTTCAAATAACTTATACGTCAGAGCGAAGGCTGCCGAGTCTTACACGTTCTCTGTTTTATTGACAAACTCCAAGAGACCTGGCTAGCAATGGCCTTGCACGTGGCGGGAGGGAGGAAGCCTGCTGGCCTCGGGCCGCAGCAGGTGGGGACTCACGGAGGGCTGTAAAGTGACACATTTCCAGCAGCATGGAGACTATAAATAATCCCTCACATTGGATACATATGTACACACGCTGACATATATACATACATGTAAAAGTATCTGCCACACCAGATACAGAGTTCCCAAATAACAGAATCTGAAACACACATGGAAGGTAAAACAAGAGTCTTCTTTCCAGTTCTGTTTTGATTGGAATAAAATAAGCTCTGCACTCCGGGTGATCATACACAGCACACGCCGGCGAGTCACTCAGTGAGTGGGCGGCGGCAGCGTGGGGGGCAGAGGGGCAGCTCGCTCAGGTTTCCATGAGCGTGGGGGACAGCGCCGGTTCACATGACGCCCGGCCCCACTGCATTCTTACTTATTCTTTAAAAACAATAAAAATATCCTAATTTGAAACTAGTTAAAAAAAATTGAGTTCTCTCTTTTTTGTAGGAAAGAAAGTTAGTATTTTAAATTATAGTTTAAATTTTCTTTTGAGAATTCATCTACACAGGTAAAGGAATCTCCTTGGCTTCTCACTGCTTTTGTCTGTGGAAACGCTGCTGCTATTTGCAGGGTGGTGTTTTCCTTCACCTGTGATCAGGTGGGCTTTGAAAAGTGCCGTCGATGTCCACCTGAGAATCCTGCAAATCAGCCGGTGGTAGAAACACATGCTGCTGTGTAAACCCCAGTAACAAAAAATAGTTTTGTATCAAATACAGTATCAAATCGTCATTTCATGTAAACACAGTGATTCTTGGTAAAGATTAGAGGCCGAAGTATCACAAAAATGGCCATGGAATCAATCCTTGCTTTAAAAAAAACCTGGTAAAGGTAAAATCTCCCCCAGCTGTTGGGTCAGTGAATCGGTCACTTCTTTTGGGCACAGCTCCACAGTGTGCAGTAAGCACCGGACCAGAAACGTTGGGACCCAGAGCCAAGCGTGGGGGGTGCCCCAGGCACCGGCAGAGGCCAGAGGGCGGCCCTGCCTTGTCGCTTGTCTGCACAGGCCCCGACCCCGTCTGATTTTCTTAGGCCGCTCAGTGTGCCATGGTCTTCCTGGAGAACCAGCTCTGCACCCTGGCGAGGGGTCCTGGCATGGAGGCTGGAGGGCAGAATCTTCTGGAACCTTCATCTAGATGCCCCCACGTCCTGCAGCACCAGGTTCCGTGGGTAGCAGGTGGCTCTGCATTCGGTTCTTGTCAGGGTCTTCCTTTTCCCGGTGTCTAGAGCACGGTCCCCTCACCAAACTAAGCAAGCCCAAGCAAAGGAAAACTTAAGAGGCTCGCAGGTGGCTCTTGTGCCCCCAGGGCTGGTGCTACCCCTGCAGATCGGAGAGGGGGCCCCCGCAGCTCTCGCTGCAGCTGGAGGAGTTGCTCAGCAGGGCCGACCCTGTGCTGGAGTCTGTGGGAAGACCAGGCGAGAACGCTGCGGCTGGGGCTGGGTGCCACACTCAGGCCCTGCTTCTAAGGAGGTTCGCAGCCATGAAGGCCGGGGGCCAGGGGTGGCCAGTGCACAGCGGGTGCCTTACCTGAGCTGCTCAGGCACTGGGCCGAGCTGGACTTGCCGAGGAGCGCAGACAGGCTGCCGGCTGGCACCCAGCTCTCCTGGCTGGAGGTCAGGTTCCTGACGTACCTGTAAGGGGCAGTCAGCAGGGCTCTGGCTGATGCTCTGGCAGGCTGTGGGCACGGGCACCCCATGGGTGGCTTACCAAAGGCCCTCGTCGCCCTCCTGGACCACCTCCACCACGTCCCCACTTCTCACAGCCAGCATGCTGGGGCCTCCCTTGTCGTGGTCCACCACGGCAGTGTACTTGCCTGGAGCCTGGTCAGGAGGGCACAGAGCACAGGCTCACAAAGAGTCCACTGCCCTAGGCCCCTGGGGCACTGCGGTGCTGTCTGCCAGCAGCCCAAGCCCCACAGAGTGGGCTTCCCATGTCCAGTGACAAGAGAAAGGATATGCGCTTTGTCGGGGCTGCCACGCTGGGGCCTCTGGCGACCACTAACCAACCTGGGAGGGGTTCCTCGTGCAGGCAAGCGGGTCTCACACTACGGGCAGGCTACCAAACCTCACCAACCCAAAGAAGGCCTTCTGGGGGCTTGGCCTCGCTCGCTGGCCTCTGCTCCGGTCACACCAAGCTCTTGCTGGGCGCAGACACCGCAAACAGTCCTCGGTGGTGCAGGGCCTGCACCTGCCACTCACTCTTGCCGCAATGCTCTCCCCTCCCTGGCCTGGCGGCTGAGACCCGACATGCGGTGTATTTTACTAGTGTTTGCCTCCCTGGGCAAAGGGAGGGCCCCCTCTGTTTTGTCTGCTTTGTCCTCAGTTCCTAGACAGTGCCTGGCAGGTGAGAGATGCTCAGCTCGCCAGTGGACGGAGCTGTCATGAATGCTGGCCCGAGAAGAGGGAGCAGGTATGGAGTGCGGGGGACCTCAGCCTGGCTCGGCAACACAACCACTCACGATGCAGTATGGCAAAGATGCAGGATAGGATGCAGGGCTGCAGGGTCTGGAGGCTGGAGACGGGGGTGAGAGCCCTTTGTCCTCACACAGCAGCCATGCCTCCTGGGATGGTGGGCCCTGAACACCCAAGGTCACATCACCTGCCACGCCGAGAGTCCAGCCTCCACCAGGGCCTGCCCGTGTGCCACTGCCCACAGCCTCAGTCTCCCCCCAGGCCTGTAGCCCCTCTGTGCCCCCACACCTGGCACTGCTCACCCTCGGGCCTCCTCCAGAAAGGCTGGCCTGACCACCCATCACCTACTTCCCTGCATCTGCCTCCGCCTCTGAGTGCCTGTTCACCAGCACCAGGGCAGCACCCACTATGTAGTATGATTCTGACTCTACTGATTTAACATGCAAAGAGCTTCCCATTGCTGCTCATGTTAAGACTGGGCCTTGCTCAGAATGCAAACCCACACTTTAAACGTCACTTCTCCTCAAGAGTGAGATAGAAGTGCACACAGAGCTATAGAGGGCTCCTGACAGTCTACTTGTCCGAGGGCAAATCAGGCTGCGCCTTGTTCCTGCTAAGGAGAGCCCTACTGTGTGGGGGCTGACAGCAAGCCGGTGGGGAGGTGGGTGGGCACAGCTGCTTGCAGCTCCCCTCCCGGGCCCCATGGTGCCCGATGACTGCCCTGGGTAGCCAAGGTTACCAGCTTCCAGGGGCCGACTCTGCCTTCTTCCTCTGCGTCCGAGGAATTGATCGGCTCCTCAGCACTTGACCAGCCGTCGTCGTCCACTGGGGCCTCCAAGGGGTGAGAGGCTCTGCTCCATCCTGAGGAGAACAGGCCCTAGTGAGACCAGCCTGAACAACACGCCTGCCCAAAGGTGTCCACAGTGTCTGCGACCCTGGAAACGTGCTGCCCGGCAGGGCCTGCCCGCCTCCCAGGAGCTGGTTAGACAGCACCACAGTCTGCAGGCTTCCGAAACGCCCACACATGTGCTTCAGCTGTGTGAACAGCCCGGGGAGCTGGGTCCCCAGTACCTGCTTCCATCCTCAGGCTAACCAGACCCAGAAACGACTTTCCAGACCCTCCCTGTAGGTCCACAGGCCCTGGAGCTTCGGGAGACCCCGAGGGACAACTAGCAGAAGACATCACCACCCATCTGTGCTGAGCAAACACCGTCAAAGGAAAGGCACTTCCAGTTAGTGCTGGTGACCTTCAACACCCAGCAGAGGGCAAGGCACATGGCCGCACACAGTGGTGACTTGTCGAGGGTGCCCTAGGGCTGCGAGGTGAGAAGCCCGACCTCAAGGCCGCTGATGCCACACTGACACCGATCATGCCCCTCGACCTTCTGGGAGCCGGGGTTCCAGCCTGATGGGCTGGCCCTGCTTCCTAAGACGTGCACATTCCTCACTAGGGGGCATCTCCAAGTAGCGACAGTCTCCCATTGTGGGGGGACAATGCGAGTTAAGTGCTGGGGAGGTGGGAGATGGAGAATTCCTTCTTCTGAACAAGCACAATACACGACAGCAGTGGTGTAGCCGCCAGGGCCGTGTTCCGCATCAGAGCACAGCCGTCATACCATTAACCGGCATTTCAACGAGGGGACAGTGGTGCTGGGACCCAAGAGGCAGGCCCAGTCCCAGGTCGTACTTGGGGTGGCGGGAGCACGCTTTCCCCCGGAGGAGCAGCCGGGACCGGAGCTGCCGCCAGCCGGCAGAGGACACATGCCTGCCCCAGTCCTCAATGCCACAGAGGCGGGGAGGCCGGGGCCGTGCCCCCAGGGCTCCAGGGCAGGGGGTACCCTACCGCGGGGGGCAAAGGGCCCCCGACCACCCCGCAAGGGCTCTCCCTGCAGCCAGTGCCGCGCAAGGCCTTCTGGGGAACAGGGCCCAGCGTGTCCGAGGCAGGGGTCAGGTGGAAGGGGTCAGGCGGAGGGGGACAGGCCTCCCGGCGGCTCCGCAGCCACGTCTGGGTGGGAAGCTCGCCGCCTAGGCAGAAGGGGGTTTTCGGGTCCGGCGCCGTGGTGGTCGCTTCCCCGCGTGGGGCCGGGGGACCCTCTGCACCAGCACCGGCGGGGGCCCTGCAGAGCAGCTGGCGCCGGGCGGAGAGCAGACACGGCGACCGCACCCAGGAACCCCGTGCCAGGCAGCATGAATGCCACACATCGGGGCGGCGTCCCTCGATCTAGGGGGCGCACAGGGGCTGCGTGGGCGTCCTGCACCCGCCCTTGTAAAATAGCCCCTGATGTTGCTGAGTAACAGCACTGGCGAACTTTTCAGGAAGGGGGCACTAGGCGTCTGCAAGACACCTGCCTGGAGACCCGGGATGGGGGGGGAAGAGAGGGGATGCGGCCCTGGCAGTGCCAGGTGCTGTGCCCAGGGCGCGCCCATCGCTGCTTCACAAGGTGGTCTCACAGCCATCTTAGAGGTGAGGAGACAACCCGGCTAAGAGGCGCCTGGCCAGCATTTGAGCCGCTGTGGCCAGGCTCGGGTCCGCTGGCTGCTTCCCACTCCAGTTTCCCAGGCCACGGAGGGGGGACATGCCTTGGGTAGCCAATGTGCGGTGGGGAGAAAAGCCCCTCCCGAGAGGCTGTCCATGGGGAGATGCCGCCCGTCCCCAAGGCCTGGGGACTCGCAGCCTCTGCCGGCTTCCTTGCCTGTGAACAGGGGCAGGGTGGGCAGGCCCTGGCCTCTGAGCTGTGGTGCTCTGGGGCAGCAGGACGGCTATGGCCTGGGTCCTGGGGTGCAGGCTGTTGGAGGCCAGAGAGGCCATGGGTGACCCCGGAATAGTCTTGGGGTGGGGGTGTTGGGACGCTGGTTCAGCATACATCCCTTGGAAACCTTCACAACTGATGGAAAATCAGGAAAATTTGGGAAGTGGAATCCTTTCTGTGAACCTGAGACGCTCACTTGGGCCGCAGGAATCCGGGTCTCCCCAGCGGAGGGCTCTGCGCTGGGAGTGTGGGGGGCAAGCAGGAGCGGGCCCTGTCTGTCTGTACGACTGTTGCTGCCCCCATCAGGTGAGGCCGACAGGATCCTGGTGGCTGCCCTGTCCTGTGCTTCCAGCAGGAAGTGTCGGGACAAAGTGGGAAGGCCAGGGAGGGGCTTGTGCGGCATGGCCCACGCTCAGGGTGCCCTGCAGCCGGCGCAGCCAGCACAGCCAGAGTGCGGAAGCCCGACCCTGCCCTGCCTGCACGCCAGCAGGTAGCTCGGTGGGTGCCGGCGGATCTGGTGTGGGGTCACCGAGAAGCAGGACGCCCTCCCAGCATCCTGGCCACAGCATCATGCTTCTGAGCAAAGCAGCCACTTCACTCCTGGCGAGCAGAGACCTGTTTCGCTTTGCATCTTAGACGGCAGTAATGGCAGACAGACAGCACCCCTAACCGGACAGGAAAACGGCTATGTCCAGAAGGTCGAGCCACACTACCTCGTAAACCAAGAGGTGTAGGATCGCTCTTTACTTCGTGTCGCTTAGCTTTTTTGTCAGGACTGGTAGGAGAAGCTGCAGAAGGAGGAAGAGGCAAAGACATGACAGGAGAGAGCGTGAGGAGCCGCGGCAGAGCGCCCAGGAGGCGGGGAGCGGCCGTTCACGCTGGGACGGACGCAGACGTCCACGGGGCTGGTTTCCACTGGCTCAGAACACTTCCTGTGAGCGCAGCTCAGCCGGCAGGGGAGGCCCAGGAGGGAGACCCGAGCACAGCTGGCTGGCAGCTGGTGCGGTTTTCAGGGGCCGCCTCTATGCACCGTTTCTTAGCTTTGCAAAGATATATGCAGATTGAATACTTGCCATATTTAGCAAAACATATGGTCAGAATTGGTTCTTCCTTTTTTTTTCTTTTTTAGTTTGAGGCCAACTTAAAAGCATTTTAGAAACTGGAAGAAAACCGTAACCCCTCCATTTGTCTGGACCAGTGAAAGAACCTTGGGCAACTCTGGCTGTGAGCACCGGGCAGGGTCCTCTAACAACCCGCCTGGCACGGCAGGTGTGTTTGGTGTGCCACCTCGCCATACTTCCCTCCCGTGTAGTTCCCTGCAAGCAGCACTGGTCTGCGTGTAGAGCTCACCACCACAGGGACTCTGTGCCCTACGTGTTAGCCAGCGCCTGGCTGACAGCGGACGCCAGCGTTCTAGCGCCAGCAGGAAAGGTCAGCACCCACGAGATGGAGCAGAAAGGCAGGAAACCAGGAGGGCGTCACGGGAGGAGCGGGACCAACGAGCCAGTGACGCTCCGGTTCCCGAGGGGCCTTCCTGAGCAAGCTCACGTCCATCTTGTCAAAGAAAAGCCCCCGAAAAGAACTTAGGCTGCATGGGTGACAGACACTCCAGCTCAGCACAACAGAGTGATGCAGAGGAGCAGTGATCGGATGGCCGCCTCAGAGAAGGGGGCAGATGGCCCCCCAAGACCACCTGCACAAGTGAGCACCACATGACGATGCAGACATGCCCAGGGCACGGGTTTCCACTTTACCTTTTTGCCCTTTGAGGTTAGCAAAGCCCTGCAGTGGAAAGCGCAGAGCTTTCCGAGGCAGAGCTAGTGACCATGCCATCTACAAAGGAGGACAAAGGGACGGCGTGGGGGGCTCACGTCAGGTCACCCCGGGGCACCTCCCTGGGGTGGGTGTGCCGGACAGCACACGCCGCCCATGAGCAAGGGGCTCTCTGGGCGAGGCACCGTGACCCGGGGCTCTGTCCTAACAGAGACTGTCCCGGACGTACCCCAGACACCTGAGGCAGCGCCCGGTACAGCCCACGCAGACACCCACCTTTCCCCTTTTCGGGAGGCTTTGGCAACGACGCTGAGCTCACATATCCTTCCAGGCTTAGGGGATCCGTTTTTCTTTCTTCCAACTTTTTGACGTTTCTCGTGTTGCCTTTTGAGGGGCTGATGGCATCAGACATGTCGGAAAGGAAACCGCACGTTGCCCGGTCAGTTTTTCAGGCCCTCCCGAGGCTCTGAGGTGCAGGGGCCGAGCGCCCCTCTGGCCCCGGGAGCACCATGCGCTGCTGCTGAGTGGGTCATCACCTCCAGGCTGAACTCGGACAGAGCCAGGCGGGGACAAGTGCCACCTTCCTTGCCATTAAGTAGGAAATGGGCTTTTGGGGGGCTGAGTTTCTCTTGAAACTATTTTTCCATGGGCTGTTTATTTAGACGGTATCCTGATCCTGCTCCACGAGTGATTAGATGTGGTTTATATAAGAAACAGGAGAAGTAACGTGTAGAAAACCAAGTGAGTGAATAAAATAACAAAGGGAAAATAAGGACAGAGAGGCAAGCTGAGGCCACGTGGGGCTGGCGTGCGCACTGCGCCCCTGAGGCGCTGCCATCCCCAGACACTTGATTGGCTGTTTATCTGGGAGGGCGCACGCCACAGTGGTGGTAACAGGAAGTGATTCCCAGAGAAAGCAAGCGGGTGACAGACTGGTCTTGGCCTGGCAGTAGGGCCATGTGCTTGAAGCTGACCCACCGCCATGTGGTCCCAGAGGACAAGGCTGGAGGGGTGTTGGGCCAGAGTAACCCAGGGACCCCAAGAGGAGCTTCTGGTGGCGTGGCCCCACCAACTTGGTGGCGTGTGCAAACCCCTACTTGGTACTCTTCCCAGTTCGGTGGCATTGGGGGTGTGCACAGCCCGTACCTCGTGCTGGACGGTGCGGGCAGGGGCAGGCTCTGAGACTGCTCCAGTGCTCGGTGCTGGCTGGCCTCTGCAGCAGGGACACAAACAGACCCCCGTGGTGAGGGGCGAACCCAGGGCCTCGGCTCTAAAGGCTACAGAACCTCACCTGTGCGTCTGGGGCCCTCTCACCTCTGCAAGCCTGCAGCTGGCTGGTCAGCACCTTCCGGATCTCACTCACCCATGCTGCTTTAATCTCGGGAGTTGGAGCCTACACCACAAAGAAATGTCTGGAAGTGGCGGCCCCCATCCCCTAGAGACACAAACTCTGGCGCCCACTCTGGAAATGTCCGAGGACAGTCATAGCAATTGCGAGAAAGAAGGGGATAAACAGGGGCCTGTTCCCTTGCTTCGGGACACCCCCAAGGGCACTGGGGCTGCAGAGAGGTCCCTATGGGTGGTGCCTGGTCCCAGGCCACTGCAGTGCGGCCAGTGGCCTGACCACCAGGCCAACACACCTTTTGTACACTCGCCAAGGTCTGACTCAGAGAACTGGCCCTTGTGATGAGCTTCTCCCAGAGTGGACAGGAAGCTGGGAGCAGCCTGACATGGTTTTAGGTGATGAGGGTAGGGGGATCTGAACTCCCACAAGAAGGCTCTCAACTTCCAGGGCGAGGGATGCAGGAGGGGGAGCAGCTGCCAGGACAGCTGTCCAGCCACAGTGCAGCACAAGGCTGGGGTGCTGCAGGCCTGTGGTGGGCAGGGTCAGCTGCCCGGCTGCTCCTGCGGAGCCGGAGGCCCATCAGGGGCTGCCTCCTCACCTCAGCCCTGCGGGGCCCTCAGGCTTGGCCATGCTGGCATGGGTGTTATGAGTTGTGGACACTACGTGCCCTGTGCTGCTGTGGTCACTGCATCCCAAAGGGTGGCCCGTAGCCCGGGACACACCACCAAGCGTGTCAGGGGTGGATCCCATTGGCTGGCCCCACCATAGGGTCTTGCTTGGGCTCACAGATGCCCTCACAGTCCCACCACCCCCTGCCCTTGCCAGTGCCATGAGGCCTGGACACCCCTCCTGCCAGCAGAGCCGGGCAGACTAGCCACACTGCCCTGCACCACCCAGGAAACAGGAGCCGGGCACCTGGAGCAGCCCCACCTTGTGGGCTTCCCTGCATTTCGTCCTGGGTCAGCTCAGGGTCAGGTCAGCCCAGGACAGTGCCCTTAAGTGAACAGGCGACAGACTCCATGGGAGACTCTAGACCCCAGCTCCTAGCAGAAGCCCTCCGGGGGCCCCTAGTCCCCCGTGCCGCCTGAGTGGGTGCAGAGCCTACCTGTATGATGTACACCTCCTCCCTGGCATTGTACCAGATCTCAAACTTCTTCAGGTCGCCTTTCACGTTCTCCGTTATGCCAACCGCCATCATCTGGCAGCAAAGCACAGGAGGCAGGGGTCAGCGGGCAGGTTGACGGCCCCGCCTTGCCTCAGAAAGGTGTTGGTGCATGCGCGAGATGATGGGGGTGGTCCTGGGGTGGGGGCTGAGGACACCAGAGACCCGACGCCCACACCTGGAGGCGAGAGGTGCGGGCCAGAGCTGGGCGTGGAGCGGTCGGCCTGTTGGCGCCGGCGCAGGGGCTCTGCAGCTGCTGAAAAGAAGCCTTACTCACGTTCAGGGACTGCTTGTAGCTGTAGGAAGGGGCTTTCTCGTACCCGTCCCCGTTCTCCTCCCTCTTCTTGCAGAAGAGCACAGCCTTCTCGTGCAGGAACAGGTGCCTCTGCATGGGCTTGAAGCGGGCCAAGTCCTTCACCTTGGCGTGGCCCCTCTTGTGGTCTGTCCACACGCTGAAGGAGCCCTGCATCAGCAGCTTCCCCAGCTGGCTCAGGTTTCCCTAGGACGCATGGCGACGGGAGGAGCATTAAAACCCAGGGTGGCCGTGGGGGTCCCGTGTGCGTGCTGCCCATCTGGGAAGGCTGCACCCCATCGGACTCCACCTGCATAAGGCAAAGCCAGACACGGGAGGCAGACCAGGGCGCCCAGGTGGGGAGCAGGGACTGTGGGGCTGGGGTTCCAGGGCCGCGGAATGCTTTGTGACGCTGCAATGGGGTGTGCAGGCCTCCACGCGCCTGTTCAGACCCACGGGGCAGACAACAGCAAGCGCCACCCGGACGCACGCTACGGACTCCGGGCGATGACATGACACATGGGCATTTGACTGTGGCATGTGTCCCTGCTGGTGGGGGGCTGGCAGTGCATGTGTGGGGCAGGGGGTCTACGGGAACCCTCTGGACCTTCCCTTGATTTTGCTATGAACCTAAGACTGCTCTAGGAATAAATCCTATTAAGTTTAATCTTAAAAAACCTGAGAATGAGCACTGAATGGACTTATATGGGCAAAAACATCAGTGAGGCAGCTGCGCAGAGGAGGGCACAGAAGTCCGGCTGCTGCCCCCACCGGCCCATGTACTCGCCCACAGCATGCAGAGAGAGGAGAGCTGCACTGTGCCACGCGACGCCTGTGTGGCACCAGCACAATGCCCACGTGGGCAAAGGCCTGGCGCCAAGGTTTTGGAGCTGTGTCTATGCAGAGATGCGCCTCCGGGTGAAGCATCCTGGCCTGTTCTGCACAGGCGGGCCCTGCGGCCTGCAGACTGGGAGCTTGCTCGTCTGGGGCCACCCCAGGTCCCCAGGTCAGAGCAGCTCTGCAGACCCCAGGTGACACACTTGCACATGGGAGCTCTGTGGCACAGTGCCATGGGTGTGCGGCGCCTGGCTCCAGGTTCTGTCTCCGCTGCAGGGTCCTTACGTCATAGCCTGTGATGGCGATGAGGTGCATGGAGTCGTTCACGGCCTTGAGGATGCCCAGGATGGAGCTGAGTGCCTCCTGGAGGTCCTCGGCTCCCTCACAGCTCTTGCTGTATTTCAGCATCTCCTGGGAGGACAAGCATGTGTCCACACACCATCTGACACTGAGCCCACCGCTGTCTGGAGAGCTGGGGATGCCCGTGCTGTCCCAGTGCCCAGCACTGACCCTAGGACACATGGTGTGGAGCCCACAGGGGCAAACCCAGGCATGCACACGGACGTGCAGACCCTCCCTGCAGAGCAGCCCAGGGGTCCCGGCCTGGAGCACCTCAGGAGGCTGGTTGCCCCATACCTGCAGGCCTGCCACCCACCTGGCCCAACACCCAGAGGCACTGCAAATCAGGACATGCCCTGAGCTGCACCCTCAGCCAGACTTGGCAGGTGCGCGCCCGACTGGTGCCTCAGGGGTGCACAGCCTTGTGCAGCTCACCTCTCCCCACTGCTAAACCCACTGCTCTTTCCTTCCAAGTCTGGCACCCAAGCAAACATCTGAGGGTTGGAGGGTGCTCTTCACACCTCTCGCTCGCTCAGGCCTCGTGGGGCCGCCCCGGCCAGCCTGCAGAGGGCCAGCCCCAGAGGGCCTCCGCACAGACCCCTAGGGCCCGTGCCCTGTGGGCGGGCTTCGCCTGTCTGTTCACCTCTGTGTCCCTGGCCCCCAACAATGGCTGGCGCACAGCAGGCCCTGCACAGGGGTCTGTGAGGAGCCAGGGACCTGCAGACGTGGGGCGAGGGAGGCTCTGAGGCTATGGCGCTCAGGTGCAGCTGGCGGGCGCCACGGGTCACCTTGAGTAGCAGCTGGTACTTGGTGATCCTCTGGACTGGCTTCAGCAGGTAAGAGTCCAGGCTCAGCTTGTGGTCCAGCTTCTTCTGGCATTCCTGTAACCACCAGACCCTGGGTTAGGCAGCCCCGTTCCTCGCGGTAATACAGGGGGTGAAACTGAGCAGGGCGTGAACGTACCTGGAAGAAGGGGCAGTCGGAGCACTGCCTCCACAGGCTCTCGGAGCGCGGCTTGTTCTGGCAGTATTTCTCGTAGATCTGGAACTCCTCCATCTGCCAGGGTGGGGACAGGTGACGGAGTGCCTCCCAGGCAGAGCCAGCTCCCAGCCATGCCCAGCCCTCTGGGCCACAGTGGCGCCTCCCCGAGCCCGGGACCCCTCTCGCATCTCAGGTGCCATGTCCCTCACTGTGGGGCAGCAGGGAACACCCCCGCCAGGAGCCCCTCAGCTGCGAGTCCTGCACCTCTATGACCCAGGCCAGCTCGGCCTGTGGGCCTGCGGCCAGGAATAGCACAAGGCCAACCCAGACTTTCCCAGAAAGGCCCTCCAGAGCACAGCCCGCAGTGCACGCCACACGGGAGCCCAGTCCAGCCGCCGGCCGGCTTGCTAAAACACAGCCCCGCTGCAGGCGCTGACTCGGCAGGTGGGACAGAGAACCTGCACTCCTAGTAGGATCTGGACCCACAGCGTGACTCTCCGCTCCCCATTCCCAAATAGCAGCGAGAAGCACCCCCGCCCCAGGGGAGCCGGACAAACGCTGCCCCCTCCTCTCCTCCCTTCTGCCCTGGACACCAGCTCGATGGTGAAGTCTCAGCTCTGGCGTGTTTCGCTCCACCGCGTGAGGGAGCTGCGCTTCCCGTGTGGGTAGCTAGTGTTTATCGAGAGCAACTGTAAGTAAGGGGATCACGTGGGGCTGTGTGGAGAAGGCAGGGGCACTGCACCCCGCAGCTCCTTCCGCCTCCCAAGCCCCCGCATGCGCTGACTGTCCCGGCCCTGGAAGGAGGTGGGCGCCCCCTATTTCTAAGAGGAGTGAGATAAGGGTCAGAGAGCATCTGGGGCGCGAGGGGGTCTTAGCCAGGACAAGGCCAGGCCCCGAACGATCGCCGGCAGGAGGACGTTCGGCCTTGCCTCACACTGGTAAGCCGCTGGCTGCTCTGCTCTCCTGCGAACTGATCACTGAGCTTTAGAAAGATCGTGCTCTTTTGGCCCTACCAAAACGTCTAAGGCACAGCAAAGTATACATTTAAAATAATACATACCCTTTCTAGGAAACACCTTCCGACCAGCTCCGGGCAGTCTGTGTAGTTTTCTAGCTCCCTCAGGAATATTCTAGACAAACAAGAGTTCTCATTAGGTTGTAGGACAAACAACCCGAATGAGATGGTATCTGTAACACGTTAATAGATGTTGTCTTCCGGGCTTTTATTCCTAACTCTGGACAGATCAGGAGATTCTGTGGGCAAGCACAAGCCATCCGACCCCAGGGGCCTGCAGCCCCCTCCAGACACTCCTGGGTCCTGGCTGCCCAGTCAGGCGGGTGTGAGCCGTCGGGGCCCCTTCGTTCCTGGCGTCGGTGGTCACACTCCTTTTTTATCAGCAGACGTGGGATGAGGCAAATCAAAAGGAGGCTTCTGGAGGCTCCGAGAGCCCAGCCCGAGCCTGTGAAGCTCTGTGGGCTTCGTGCAGATGCCCTGGGGGTCTTGGCTTTGCCCCAGGGACCCACCCCGCACAGTACTGCCCCTGAGCCTGGGTGCTGGGCTCTCCCCTCTGCATTGCTGACCTGCATTTGTCTATCAAGGTAAACGCCCCCAGGAGGGGAGTCCCCTGGGGATCAGGTCACTAGTACTGCACCTTAGAGCCACCAGGGGCTGGGTGCCTGAGGACTGGCCTAGACCCCAGCCCAGAGCCAGGAATGCTGAGGGTCCAGGCCACTCGCGCATTTTAATTCCCAAGTTCTGTGCAACCCCTGTGGAAAGGGAGGCTTTGCCTGCGTCCGGGGCAGGGCTCAGCTGCGGGCCTGGTTCCTCCTTTGTGAGCGGGCGGCGGTGCCAGTGACAGGGCGGAGGCATGCAGTGGGACTCGGGTCCTGAGGAGCCCTGATGTCCAGAGCTGGCCCGAGCTGGCCTCTTCTCCGGGCCTGTAGGCATGCGTCAGCTGGCCGCCTGCTCATCTCCTTCCCCAGAGCTCCTGCCACCTCAAGGAGCTGAGGCTGAGCCCCACTCAAGGACCGTCTACACGTTACCCGAAGCTGCAGAGAGGCCTCGGACAGCCCTCTGAGGAAAGGGACTTCTGCTGGCATCCCTCTCAAGATCGGGCCTGAGGACAGAATGGGTCCTGCGAAGTGGTGAGGCCTTCAGGGTCACCCCAAAGTGCCAGACGCACACATGTGGGGTGGGGGGCTTCTGCTGGCCCAGCAGGACAGGGAGAAGGTGGGGCAGGGGCACTGACAGGGCTCGGAGGCGTCTGCCCCTGGGGGTGGGCAGCCCCTGTGTAACTCACCCCGGCTCAGATACTCGCCTGGGCATGGCCCATCCGAGCCCGCTGCTCAGTCTGAGACCCCCAGAGAGCTTGTCCCTGCTGAGAGCCACGTATACCAGGGGATGGACCACGTACACCAGCAGAGTGTGGCCTGGGCCACCTGGGTTCTGGCACCCCAGGTGTGCACGTGATCTGGAAGGCCCACCTGTTATGGAAGTGGTAGATTTCCTCCATGTTCCCGAACAGGACGTCCTTCTTATTTTGAAGGCCGGCTGACAGGAGATGTGCCATCAAAGGGTTTTCCATCTCGGCAGCATAGCCCTGGAGAAGTGGACAGCGGTCAGGCAGGATCTGGCCTGGCAGCTGCCACACTGTGGGACCAGTGCCAAGCTGCCCACCAGAGGCCCGGGCTCACGTGCGGCCGAGCTGGCACACGACCTCTCCGGTTCTGGAGGCCAATGTACCTGGTGTCTACTCATTGGCCACCCTAGTGACAGTCGTGACAAGCAGCACCAGCCCTGGGAGGCGCCAGGAGCCACCCGCCTTCTGACTGTTGTAATTCAGTGACTCCCATGAGGACAAACCTCTCGTGGGCACCTGATGAATTATTAAATGTCTCCAGACTGCAACCACCTCCCCACTGTGGCCACTGGGTCAGGGCACAGAACATTCTGGCAGGCAGAAGCCCCTGGCCTCCCAGGCACCAAGCCATTCCAGGGGCTCCAGGTCCCGGTGTTCCCACACCGGGGGCCGTGCTCCTGCCTGACGCCCCTGCTGCTAGGCTTCCGAGGGTCCCCACGACTGTGTGTGACGGTGGCTGGCAGGATCCCATCGCCACGAACACCAACCCCGAGCAAATCCGCCCCAGCGAACTCAGCCTTTCTCCCACCAACAGACACGAGTCCATTTCCATTTTGGGGGTGTCACCGGTATAACCGTCTGCCCCAGGCTGGGGGTCTCTGTGGGGCGAGGCAGCCCACAAACCCTTGCAGGCTCACCTCCAGGACGCAGAGCAGCTCCTCCACGTAGGCGCGCTCCGTGTCCAGGAGCTCATTCATCACGTGCCTGGGGGTGGGCGGGGGCAGAGACGGCAGGGAAGCCTGAGCGCCCGAGGAGGCAGCACAGGTGGGCCTCCATGTCCAGAGCAAAGGACAAGCCCATCTCCTCCGGCCACCTGCAGGGCTCCCCCCACTTAGTCCTGCCTCCTGCCCAGCCGTCCCTCCTGGGCCTTCACACAGCCGCCCAGTGCCCACCACCAGCCTCCTGCACAATGGGTGCAGCAGTGACTGGACAAATGCTTGTCATGTTATGGTGCCCAGAAGGGCCATGGCTTGCAAACCGCTGCTCAGACCTCATTTTACAGATGAGGACCACCTCTTAACTGCCTATGACCAAGCTTCCCACGGCCACATGGCACGGGGAACCCAGGGGGCCCTGGTTGGGAGCACTGTGGTGCTCAGCTCCAGATCACCTGTTGGCCTCGGCAAGGCCCTGCTGTAGCTCAGGGTCTGGGCTCTTAAACAGGGAGGAGAGAGGCCTGGGTGCCCCTCACCAGGAGCTGGAGGTGAGCGCTCCTGTCTGGGGGGCGACAGATGCAGTGTGAGCACCCGGGTAGGACGCCCCAGTGGGAGGGCCGAGGGCAGGGCAGCGTGAGGGCACCCTATGTATCCATCTGAGTGGGGACACGATCATGGGCTGCCTCTGTGGAAAGGCGAGCAGTGCAGCTCAGTGGGTAGGCAGTTCTACGGGGAGGGACCGCCAGCCCCGGGGGGACACTCCTGTCAGCTCCAGAGCTCAGACCTCATCAGCACTGGTGTGCAGGGACGGATGTGGCCCCGGTCACTCTCGGGAAGGGTGTCTGTGCAAGGAGCCCACAGCTGATGAGCCATAAGAGCCTCAGAAGGGCTGGGGATGTGTGAGGAGGGATGAAAGGGTCGGAGCAAGAGCTCCAGGGGCCAGGAGGTCCTGTGGAGAGCGCCAAGCCCGCCGAGGAGGGGCCTACCCGTGAGCCCACAGGCCTGCACAGGGCTGCACAGAGCCTTCTCTCCTGGGGCTCAGGAGGTGAGGGAGGCCCCACCCATCTCCAACTACCAGTCCCACCCAAGGACCCAGCAAAATGTGGCTTTTCTAAGGAAAACACATCTTGTTTCAGGACAGGCATATTCATTCTTCCCTATATGGTGCACTACGCACGCACGTGTGTGCACGCGACGTGTCAGCTTCACTTCCGCTCTGTGGCTTTGGGGTGGAAGCTGATGAACCACCGACTCTGGCTTGTTTACATTGAGACTCTGTGACCGAGGCTGGGCTCTGGGAGGGGTCGCGTCTTGCCCAGAGCCTCTCTGTGCCGCCTGGGAAGCCAGAAACCCACCTCCGCAAGACGGCCAGGCCCTCCTCCTCCACCGCGGAGCCGCTCCGGCCCTGCCGGCTGTCACTCATGGCGCTCTGGGGAGAGACAAGCACACGGCCCGTGGGGCTTCCGGGCAGGAGGCACAGCCTGAGGCCCTGGCATCAGGCTCGCTGCCCTGTCAGTCCCCACAGGATGCCAGGAGGGGCAGGAGAGCCTCGTGCAGGGCCTGGTGGGCGCTCCCGGGGTGCTGGCTGTGCGGGAGAGGCTGGCACAAGGCCTGGGCGACCTCACCTTGGCCCTCCGGTAGGCCCCTCTCCGGAGCGCGCCGCCCTCGGGACTGGGGCTCTCGGAAGCCCTCCGGACGCCTGGTTTGGAGAGAAGTGGGAGGGGAAGGTGTGACATCGCATCTTATCGCTGGGGGGAGAGAAGCAGGGCCTCCAGGAGTGCCCAGAATTGATTTTAATTCAGACAAAAGCAAGCAGCCCAGTGAAGGGTGAGGGTTTCCCAGGGAAAACAGGGGGGAGCTGCAGGCCAGGCTGCCTGGTCCAGAGAGGAACCTGTCCTGAGGCCCCACAGGGGTCAGAGGCCTCCGGGGAGCGGTGTGGCGTCCGCTTGACCTCCGAGGACTGAGCGGGGTGGAGGCCGAGGGGCTGGGGTCAGAGCTGTGTGAAGGAACTCTTTTGGCAACAGCCCTGACAGATGGGTCTGGGGGAGACTGGAGTGGGGCACACGGCCCAGGAAAGTTCCTCAATGGGAGTAGGCATTCCAGGGCCATGGGCACATACTCTTTGCTGCAACCGTTCAACACACGGGAGACTGAATGAATGAGTGGGCCGTGCGCCAACAAAACTTTATTCTCAAAATGGGTGCTGGCCCCTGGACTAGGCCTGCTGGGGAAGGGGAGGCTCCAGCAGTGACGGCAAATACCTGGGGAGGGGCAGGGCGACTTTGTGAGCGCCTCTGGCCGGGGGGCCACTGGCTGCACAGGCCGCGTCTGCTTGGCGGCCAGCTTCTTCAGGCTGGCCTGCCTCCGGTGAAACATCTCTTCCATGCTTTCCTGCTTCTGGAAGACCTTCTGCACGTGTTCCTGAAGAGACAGGGCAGATGGAGTGGTCAGCAGGTGCCCTGAGGGGTCAGTCTCTGCAGTTCAGGACAGAGCTGCCTGCACAGACCTGGCCTGGCAGCACGAACTCTGTTTCAACTGCTCATGACGCAGTGCCAGCCCCCAGGGCAGCCATCCTGCCCTGCTCTGTGGATGGAGAGGCTGGGGGGACCCTGGGAAAGGAGGGGGGCAGGGCCCACAGGAAGACAGCTGCGGGGGACACATGCAGCCCCTCCATGTGTCCAAGGGCCTCCCAGAGGGGCGGTGCCTGCTGGGCCACCCCAGGTGGGGAGGACAGCTGGCCGGCAGTGAGGGTGAGGAGGAGCCCGGCAGCAGCACAGCATCGAGAGGAACGTGCAGGGAACAGGGCCTCGGGGACGGCCAGTTCATGAAGAACACGCCTGGCAGGGAGCGACCCCCTGGGGGGCAGGAAGACCAGCGCGCACAGGAGGTGTGGACATCGCCTCTGCACTGAAGGGAAAGTTGGGCTAATGACCTCTGTGCTGTCTCTCTCGAATGCCCAGGGTCCTCGGAGGGCCACTGACCCAGTCTTGCCAACACTGTGGGGGCAGCTCCCTGCTGCTTGGCACAGGTGAGCTGCCAGAGAGAAGCCCCGGCCGGCTTACCATCAGGTCTCGGGTAAGGATGGATTCATAGTCCTGGTAAATCCTACTGAGCTCTGGGATCTTATTTTCTGCACCGGTCTCCAGAAACTTCTCGATTTCCTGGAGAGCCGCCTCGGCGCCGTCCTGGGACTGGCACTTGTCCACAGGCTGCGAGGCCAGCAGGTAGATGCCCTCGTCACACCATTTCATGGACTGGCACGGGAAGCGTGGCAGAGGAAGAGAGCAGACCGTTAGCCGCCGGGTCCAGGAGTCTGTGCTGAGCACGCGCTGCTGGGCCCTGCGGCTGCCTCGCACGTGGTCCGGGGACGGCC